AGGAGACCTTGCCCCCCCGGTCACATTAGTAGCACTATCGGGATTGAGGTTAGGCTGTTCTACATTTGCATTATTATGGCTTGCATTCGGATTATTAGACGTAGACATAGTTCTCCCACTCCTTAATCTCATGCAATTCACACACCTAAACTAGTCCAATTATGTTCTGAATTAAACGGGTCCCACCGGGCGTGCCAATTTGTTTACGGTGGAATTAACCATCAAATCCTGGGTTCTTTTTATTTAGACTAGCATACGAACGTATTTCAATTTAGGTGCTTTACTGTGTTATCGTGTTACCGCGAATGGAGAGTAGGATGAAAAAGTCTTAGCAACTACTTGTTTCAAAATGTTCTTCGATTAAAACAAACAAGCAATGTTCCCGCATGCAAATAACAATATGAATAGAATGAACAATGTATACATTCGCAATACAAATCATGTTCAAATTACATAATGTTCAAGCATTACAAGATTAAAGTCTATAACTACGTAATTAAAAGGAGAGAAGAGAAAAGAAAGACTACACTAATCCTACTCCTAAAAAGAGAAAAGACAAGTGGCCGAGAAGTAATCATACCCAAAGATGATTCCTTGCATGGAAGCCATATGTGCAGGCAGAGAATGCTTCAGAATTTGGTTAGAGTATGAGTTTTCCGACCTCCGTAAAGGTCCGTACTCCTTGTATTTATAGAGCAATCAAGGGCGGTTAATTCTGTACATGTACGCTTTTGACTCATAACCGCTATCCACTATATTTGCTACGTGGTCTTGACTCACAACTTCCTTTAACCGCTCTTCCCACGTTCCTTGTTTCCTCGATTGATTTTTTGGTAACCGTTTTGGCTTAACCTCCATGTTCTAAGAGTCTCAACTTTTCAACTATTCTCGAGCAACACTTGTTTTTTCTAGTCCCATAATTTCGAGTGCTCTCACGCCCCACATGAGATTAGTCACAAGTATTCAGCATGTGTTGATTTTACTTCTCAGGCAGCGCTATCAATCTTTTCGAGTCACATGATTTTCGAGTACGCCTAACAATTATCATAAGTTTTTTAATAAAAAAAGTATAATTCATCCCACCAAATAAAGATGTATTTTAACCGTAAAATGCACATAATAAAGTGGTACTTCTGTTGCGATTTCATGCTCAAGCTGAAGAATAAATCATGACTCTTATTTAAAAAACATAATTATCAAATTACTTAATATTTTAATTTTTTTCATGCCCAGGTTATTTATACGTGGCTTTTCTCGATTATCATATCCTAATTCCTAACTTTCTTATTTTATAAGAGATCAAATATACTTCTGTTTGTTGTGAAATTCATTTATAGATTCTTTTTATTTATACTAGCAGGGTTTTCAATTTAGGTATGTGATAAATAGGGATCCTACATGTTATTACAACTTTAAGGTACTATGCGAAGCTATAACAAAAACAAGCCTTAGATAATACTTATTCTTAATATATAATGAATTCTCAGGAACGAGGTTTACACACCAAAAGACAGATGACCATAAATAAATAAACATGTAAAACTAGTCGATGTTTAATTTTACATGAGTTAACATGTGAAGATTTTCAAGTGTTCATCACAGTTACCACAAAATAAGTTTCATGCATATAAACATTTAGGTGAATCGAATGAACAACATATATATTAACGATATAAATCATAATTGGTTTGCTTCCAATAATTATTGGATTACAATAAATGAGGGCTCTAAGAAGCAACAAAACTACAATAACATGCTATACTAAATTAAACTAGAACTACTCTAAAAAGAAAAAGAAAAAAAAAGGTGGTTAAGAAACCATACTCAACAATCTCGTACACAGAAATCATATGCGTAGGCAATGAGTGTTGTAAGATTTAGTAAGTATAATGTTTCCGACCTCCCCCGAATGAGCCTGCCTTGTCTATTAATAAAGAATAGGAAAGAGCGATTACTTTTGTGTTAGTTTGACATGGGGTGTACAACTGCCCCATGTTACACGATGTGGATAACTCCTTCAACCATTCTTAACTTCCAGTAACTACTTTTACATCTTCGACTCTCGAATAATATCTTTAAGATCCTTGACTTTAACATTTTCGAAAAACAATTATTACCCATTAAACCCTTGTAATTTATAACTATCCCATCATTTAGGCAGATGTGAGTAACCTCTCGACTTATCAAAGGATTCCTTGAGAATATTTCAATTACTTGGGATTCCTCTAAATTGATCCAACAACCTCCAAAACCTTTCCCCTATTCCTTTTCTTTTAAAATTCTTTTTACCCCTACCCTACCCTTCTCCCTTGCACTCGCTTTACCCTTTCTTCGACTCCAGACTCCATTGTATCTCTACCTGTTATCACTCATTAAACGTAACAATCAAACCACATTTTTATTGTGTATTATACTACAATATAGAATGAAAACTTATTTTAGTTGAGTTATAATCGAAAGTATAGGGAATGTGACTTCATAATCCACAATGAAAACAAATTTCTGATGTGTATTATAAATAACAAAAATATGTTTGTCAATAGTATTTTTGGTAAAAAAAAAAAAGGTTAATTTATAAGAATAGAAAATGGGATGTATGGACCTTTTTTATAACATTCTTTTCAACCAACCCATAAAAAAGGGTTTTGTCGTTCTCTTTGGGTGGGGGTACCCTAATTACGTACATTGAAAAGAAAACATTTAATCATGTACAAGTGACTTTACTCGATTCAAATTGAGATGATTAATTCACTTACATCTCTTGGTATATTCAATGGTTATTTTTTATTGTGGAATTTATAGGAAAACTGATGGTTTCAGTATCAGTCAGTTTTCATCTGTAAATTAAAGAGTATAATTGAATAAAATTTTAAAGCTAAGCTTTTAGGCTAGAATTGTTTCCCGATTTCGCTTGTCATAATGACTAGAATTGTTGAGTAGGAAGAAATGTAATAGAAAAAGCGGAGCAAGCGTTGCTTAATGATAACGTGTATACTTTGCACATAAGTGCAAAATATTTCAGGCTGAATAAACTCCGATAATGCTTATGAACAAATAGTACTTTTGTACGTGATAACCTCTTAATCTAATTTAAAATCTCAAATAAAGGGAAATAAAAAATAAAAAATACACCCGTCCCTTCATTTTTTTTTGGCTCAAACCTTCCCCCTCTGGCATATAGGGGGACACTAGAATCAATAAAGTATAATATGATTAATACATATGTATGTATCTCTATTATGTAGTTAGAAGTTTGATCCCTAAACTGTACATGGAAGGAAAAAAATGGTAGAAGAGATCAATTCTTTAAATAGATTTCACAAGAGTCTTCATTATTGTAATTCATATAGATAAAAAAAAATAAAATCACTAGAGTTTAACTTTCAAATTAAAAAAACGACAACAAGGCTTGGTGAATAGAGTTGAAAATTTGATCATGTTCGTTCTTAAAGGTGAGACGAGATGCGGCCGAGATTGCACAAGCCTATTTATGGGCTATATGGCAATGGCCCTATTCACTCTACATATTTTATATGGATTAGTGGGCTTTTTCGGCAACTCTGTTTTCCTCGATCCCCGTCATTAATACAAAAAGAAGAAAGCTCTTCATTCTTAAATTACTTTCCTCACTTTATCATAGGCTATTTCCTATCCAACTTTTTCCATAAGTAGAAAAGCGATGTTCAACAAAATACGAGAAAGTGTAATGTCCAAGATAAGTCATGTGCTCAACTTTTCCCCAGTTTGGCGAAGTAGAAATAGAGAATTGGGAATAAATATAACATGACGGTTCTAAATCTAATGTAGTCAAGAAAGATTTTATACCAGACAGATAGCAAGATGGTTTTCCATACTTGGCTTGCCATCAGAAAGCATAAAATTGAATAATCATCCCCTTCACTGTCGACAGTATAGCCAAATAGTTATAGATAGAATGTTTGCCAAGCAAGATTGGTTTGTCAGTTTTAGCCCCATCAAAATAATTGCACGAATTATGAGGCTTATAGCAAATTAGCAATTAATGCAAATCAACAGTCAAACACAACAACAACGAGGAAAACGTTGTGCAACTAAAAGCCTTTGCTAATTTTATTGATTCTATGGACATATCACATACACATAGTATCTATCTATCCGAGTCTTTCACTGTCTATACATTCAAGAGAACCTCACACTTGTACATTCTATCTGTCCATCCACTCATTTGGCCACACAGTCATACCCTTCGCCCTCTACCACAGGAGTCCCTGTCTTGAGCCAAAAACATCAAAAAACCACAAGCCTTAATTTTAGACTGTGGACCCCACCTCCCCTTCTTCAATTCGTTTGCGTCTTTGTGAAGGACTAAGAAACAAGAAAGATAGTACAAACATTAACCAACGTTAAGGAACCATTTGGATTTTCTTCCCCCTTCCTCTAGCCTCTCTTTGCAGCAACACATTGACCAAGGACAGAACTATTTAAGTTACTAACCACTGTGAAACTAACCAATTCTACAAATACTCTAACCTTTTATAAAGAATCAAGGTAGCTATTTATTATTCTTTTGCACCCATTTTAACCAAGATTTCCCACAGCCGTTGGATCTCTCCGAAGACATCATCGGACGGCAACCTAAACCTGCAGCAAGGACACGTGTTCCTCTTTCCCAGCCAGGGTAAAATACACATCCAATGAAACAAGTGCTGACATGGCAACTCACACACGTCCCTCCCTATTCCCATCTCCTCTTTGCATATAACGCACTCCCTCCCACCGTTTCTCACCTCCACAGACGGCAGAGCCACCACCGTGGCGGCCGACGCCGCCACCTCCCCCACTTCCTTCCCGCCGCCGCAGTCCAGCGCGCTGACGAGTCTCCAGCACCGCGTCACCGTCTCAACAAAGGGAATCAAAACCGTTCCCGGGCAGGTCCCAACGGGTGCAAGAGAAAGAGTCAGCAATGAATAAGTGAAGAGGTTGCTTAGGTTTCTTCTCCATTCGGAGAAGGGTGCGTCGAGGGCTTCCGGGTTGTGGTTGTGCGTTTCGCAGAGGAGGAGGAGGAGCAGGGCGGCGTCGAGGTCGCGCTGCCGGGTGGCGGTGGAGGGGGGCGGCGACGTGGCGACGAGGAGGTGGAGGGAGGAGAGGAGGTGGCGGGCGACGATGAGGGTCTTCTGGGGGAGGGAGAGTGTGTGGAGGTGGTGGAGGGTTAGAGAGAAGAGCGTGGGGGAAGAGAGGAGGGCGGCGAGGCGGCGGCGGTGGTGGTGGGTGGCGGAGAGAATGGAGTGGGTGAGATCGGAGAATTGGGGAGGGGTGAGGGTGGAGAGTGCAGCCATGATGATAGTTGATGTTGTTTCTTCCATTGTGGGATCATGTGCCTGAATATGAGGGAGGAAGGTTGAAGAATGTGGCTTTTTATGTCACCGATTATTACTATAATAAATAGACAACTTGGTCTCGCACTCTTGCTTCTATTGACCAATGTGTCCTTTATTTCTGTTCCTTTTTCTAACTTCTACCGTCATAACACTACAATAACTTGTACGTCGGTTGTCCGTTATACTTTTAGCAAGATGTGATTGGGTACACCACTGCTTCACCTTTTACTTCATCTTTCTGTATGTTCAACATTCACTAACAATGATTTCCCTAAAACTAGAGGAGGTAATGATTCTAATTCTAATTAGCCAAACTGTATAATTGTCGGATTCTGTGTCAAAGTAGAATTTCGTAATAATAATAAGTGTTTGTATTAAATTCTTTTACAACACAAAAACTAATAAATAAATGAAAATAATATAACTTTACGAATAATTTTATATTGATTTTTTTTACCAGAAATGATACAATACAACTACATTAATAGAGATATAAATAAATAATTAATTAATACTGTATTTACATAAAATACTAAAATAAAATTTATTTTAGATTTTATTTTCCTACACGATTTTTACGGATAAGTTAATAAATAAGTACTTTGGATGGAGTAATAAATAAATATGTATCCGCAGAATCGGATTAAAAAATATTTATCTGGGAAGAAAAAAAAATATAGAGGAGATATTTACATTTATTGGTAATAATACAAACCGTTGATATTCCTATTTATTAATGCTTCAAAACCATAAATATTCTGTTGCACATTACAATCATAATCAAACATGTAATAAATGGAAAGAAAAATAACAATAGTAATTTGTAAGATTAAAGATTTATTTGTTTTACTCTTAAAACAATTTCCACATGAAGGACGTGTTCAGATGTAAAATGTGTGTGGTTGGAATTAATTTAAACACATTTTAAGTTTTTAACAATGTTAAATTGTTCAAAATCAACTTGATTTTAAATAAATCAAGCACTAAATGGAAATAGGGTAGATTGTAGATTACCTGAATTAGTTATTTAAGGCGGTAGAAAATCTCGAAAGGTTTTGTGGAACAAATAACAATGGTGTGACACTTTTTAACATGGTATACCTAATGAAGTGGCACCGTTTGTCCATACGTTAATGTCCAGAGGAAGCACGTTTCTTACTCTAGTGCTTTTCATTATCTCTTTCAGATGTTTTCTCTCGACAGATTTGGCTAATGTCAACAAAACAAGCAGAAGAGGAAGTTCCCCCCTTGGCCCATGCCTGTGGCTCGTTCCTTTTGTCACTAATCAAATGCACCAAAACAAAACAATAATGCATTTCCGCTGTAGAAGAATTAAGCATCTTCATTTTCTCATCCTTCTTATGCATGAACATATCCTAATTTCTCAAAGTCCCTGAGTGTCTACCTACCTTTCGTGGTGGGAATGTTAAAGGGAATAATGTATTTCTAGGATCACGGGCATTCTGGACAAAATATTAAAATATAAGGCCCCGTAGTCATTAGCCCATTACCTATTATTGAGAAAGACGACATTACGGTGGCAAACGAAGCTATGATTAAAGGAAAGGATATTTAACAGATCTCGGATGCTTTATTAGCAAGAAAACTATTTCCGAGACAAGAATGGGGTTAAGATGTGAAAAGGAAAAGGTGGATGCAAGACAAGCCCCACAAAAAAAGACTATAGAAATGAAACAATTATGCTTCCTGTGTTAAATTCCAACTGGCTTCATCAAAATCAATGCTCAATGAGTTCCTAAGTCTCATCTCACGAATTTGGTGATCTCCAAAAAAAAATATGCTTGCCATATATTTTCAACAGAAAGTGTCCCTGTGTTCTAGCTTTTCGCAAAATATTAGGTTCCCATCTCATCGATCCATACCGCATCTACCTTAATGCCATAAATTTGAAAGGAAAAAAAAATAGTATTCGTCCTGAAATTCGGGGATCATAATCTCGCATAATATGATCACAATGTAGTTTTCCTTTTACAATCAATCAAGCTACTTGCAGAAAAAGGAAACTGGTAAGTTAATTTCACACATGATATCTGACTTGCACCATGCAGCAGATATTCAAACCCAAAATACACTCTGCCCTTATTACATTCCCTTTGCCTCTCACCTTCACCGTGGGGCCAGCTGAGTTTTCCCCGAGACCCACTTCAGTAATCTGTCTGCTTTTCCTTTAGCCTTAAAAAAATTAATCACAAGGAAGTCCTTCGCTATTAAACATGTAATCACTGGAAAGCAGGTCCAAAGTTATTAATGCCAGCCAGAATGCCACTTTTCTGCTTATATGCAGAGTTGACTCACTAGTCACAACCGGACTCCACACAAACACCGACACTATGACATGACTAATGTCTAAAAAATCACAGCATACACACACAAAAGAGAGAGAGAGGGGGGGAGGGAGAGAGACTATAATGAATAAAGTACGTGTAACATTACAAAATATCTAAATTGATGGTATATTCACATTTTTAAATTAACGTTTTATGTTTTTTCTATGATAACAAGCCTAAAAATAGGCAGAAAACATTGTTCTTTTTATTTTATATTACATTTTAAGCTGATTTATCTAAAAAATAAAAACTATTTTTTTAATAATATTAGTGTTTCAGGTGTTGACTTGAGAAAATTTTACATAAATAATATTTTTTTAATAATATTTTTTTTTCTTCTCAGAATTCGGTTCCCGGGGAACCGAATTCTGAGTTGTTTTTATATATATATTTTTTTTTGCGCATTTGGGTCCAGAGTGGGAAAATTTTGTAAGTGGAACGGCCCGTTCCGAAAGCAGAACGGGCCGTTCTGCGTAAAGACATAGAGTTATTTTTTTGAAATGAAAACGGGCTAAGAACGAGCCGTTCCCGAACAGAACTTTTAACGTTTTTTTGAATCTGGAACGGCCAGTTCCAGAACGTTTTTAGGAATTAAAAATTGGTTTGGAACGGTCCGTTCTGGGTAAACAGTAAAAAGTGGCGCCACCATTAAAAAAATAAAATACAGGGAAAAAATAAATAAAATAAAAAGAAAATACAGAAAAGATAAATATTATATATATTTATATAAAATTCATAAAATTAATTAAAAAATGGAAAAAATAAATTAAGTTAATAATTAAAAGTGACGTTATAGACCATAGGGCCACTTATTTAAAAATTAAAATACAAATAAAGAAAAAAAAATATATAACATAAAGAAAATACAGAAAAGATAAATAAATAAATATAAATTATAAGAACTTAATAAAATAAATTAAAATCTGAAAAAAAGAAATTAAGTAAATAATTTTTTTTTAAAAAAGGTAAAGTAAATAATTTATAAAAAAAAGAGGTAAAAAATGGTGGCACTATAGCCTATTACGACACTGTGTTGTTATAGGCTATAGCGCCACTAGAGATGACAAACATACCCGTACCCGCGGGTAATACCCGAACCCGTCCCGACTTTGACGGGGAATACCTGGTTTGACCGGGTACGGGTACGGGTAAACCCCGATATATTAAATCGGGTACGGGTACATGTATGTACTTACCCGCCCCGTACCCGTACCCATACTCGTCCCCGTTCTTATTAAATCGGGTACGGGTACGAGTACGGGGATGGGTATCATAAAACCCGTACCCGCCCCACTCCTTTGCCATCCCTAAGCGCAACTGTTATAAATATTTAAATACATATTTAATTCATAATATAAATATTTAAAGGAAAAATATATATATAAAATAAACAAATTATAGAAAAAATAAGTTTATAAATAGAAATTAATATTATATTTATAATATAAAAAAATTATTTTTAAAATTAATTCAGTTTATTATTTTTATTTTACATTTCTATTATTTTTTGTTTATTTTTATTTTTTTCTTACACAATGTCGCTATGAGCTACATTATTTTTGTTAGTCCATCAAATGTGTTGATCTATCCTATATCTACATTTTCTTTGTTATATATATTTTTTTTTCTTTATTTGTATTTTAATTTTTAAATAAGTGGCGCTATGGTCTATAACGTCACTTTTAATTATTAACTTAATTTATTTTTTCCATTTTTTAATTAATTTTCTGAATTTTATATAAATGTATATATAATATTTATCTTTTCTGTATTTTCTTTTTATTTTTT